AAAAAAAAAAAAAAAAAAAAAAGATTCCATTGACCTGATACAGACAGCTGATGGTATGTGTCACAGACTTATTTTAAATTGCATGCGAACTTTGTTCACGAGATTGTCATCTCAAACGTAGAAACTCAGACTCTGTTGCTTTGCCGTATTAGTCAGTTTTCTCTAGGTGATGCTATGTAGTAAACAAGCTTAAAAATCTTGGTGATACATAACAATCACAGGCTTTTTCCTCACCCGTCTTACATGTTGACTTCGGCAGCTGGGTGGCAGCTGTGAATTTTTTCTGTGTATCTGATTGATTTCAGGACCTTTGCTGAAGCAGCAGGTTCTGTTTGAATTGTGCAGTCTCGTGGCAGAGGGGAAAAAACAAGAGAACAAAAGAGGAAACCCCAATGTCTCCTAAAACTTCTGCTCGAAAGAGACATATGTCACTTCTGCTCACATTTCATTGACAAAAGCAAGTGACATGGCCAAGTTGGAACATGTGGGAAGTAGGGTGGGGTAAGGGGATGTTTAATCCTCTTATAGGGGTTAGGTGCAGAAAATAATTAGGAACAATAATAACAGCTACCACACTGTGGTATCCTGTTCCTACCGTTTTTGGCCCCGGCTGGGTTTGAACCTGCCACCTCTGCTATGTAGGGCTGGTACCCTACTCCTTGAGCCACAGGCACCGCCCCCCTATCAGCCATGATTGGCACACAGTAGCTGCTCAAGAAAACATTAGATGAGTGGATGCTTTCATAGAGAAAGCGAATTAAGAGGGCTTCATGAGGAAACTGGGACTCGAGCTGAGCCTTGCAGGATGAGTAGATTATGAATATGCATCAGTGCACTTCCCAGATCATATGTTCATTGCTGTGGCACTTTGGCTAGTGTGCATGCAGGAAGTGGAACATATTTGTGAATAAATTATTTTAAATGTTCACTACTAGAGCTTTGGAGTGGGGGAGGCAGATGATAGTAAAAATGAGGATTAGAGTTCCTGAATGTCAGAAGTCGCCAGTGTAGTCATAGCCCCAAGCAGGTAAATCACTTCCGTTTTGTCTCAGACTATAAACCTACTTTTTTTGAAAAATGCAAATGCTAGCTCTTCATCAGACTAAAACAGCAGGACAAGTGGGCTCATTGCAGATGCTGGCGTGACGTCAGGCTGGAGCAGCTGTCGTGATCTGGATCTATAGGCTTTGTAGTGTATCTGCCAGTGATTTCTCTGGAACAGATGCCTGTTTGATTTGGACACCAAAGTTCATGCACAGTGCGGTGCCGTTGCCCATCCATCCAATTAGTGTGACCGGCAGAGACTAATGCTGGGCTCCAAACAGGGGATGGCCTGGGCCTGGGAGAATCTGAGCACAGAGGCCATCACACCACTGCTCTCCTCTGTCCCCAGCATCCAGCCTCATTCGCCAGTGGCTTCCTCCTCGTACAGAGTTTATTAGAGCTTAGGATGAAACTATTACACTGAAACTCTTGTATCCACTTTCCTTCACTTGAGACTCTGTAATGTGAAGGGAGGGTTGCAGTTGTGCACATTTATTTTCCTAGTTGGCACATTAAATAGCAATTGCATAGGGATAAGTCACTTAATGTGTGGATTGTTTTTGTAAACTTGTTTCCACATTGAGTCCCATTTTGTGTGTTTATTGTCCTGTTGTCGTATTTAAAATTTAGTATAATTTCTCTTTGTGAAACAAAGGCTTTACGCAAGAGGTTTTTAGTTATTGATGAAATATACGAAAGGTGCTAAATCAGAGAGGCGAATGTTGTCACAACATTCTGAACCTCAGCAGTTGGGTGATCGCCCACAGGAACAGGCCTGATCAACAGTGCAAATCTTCCCCTTATGCTCTCAGTTCAGTTCAAATGCAAAAGTGCCCTTTTAGCATCTGAAGTGTAAACCTGTGTCCCCTCTTCCACTAACCTAAATACAGAAGGCTGATAGGATGTGTCACAGATTTGTTTATTCTCGAAACCGTGTTTAGACCACAGAAGTCAGGATTTCAGGTTGCTGCATTTGCGCCCCAAGAGCGTACTAGCCATCCCTGCCTTTCAGGTGAAGATTGAAAAGGAACTCAGTGGCATCTACCGGCGATTGTTTGAACCACTCCGAGTGCCTCCAGATTTGTTCAGAAGATTAACTGGACAGTTTTGCATGATCCAAACCTTGAAAAAGGGCCAGGCTTATGCTGCAGAGGATAAAACCTCAGTCGATGACCGTCTGAGTATTCTCCTGAAGGGAAAGTAAGTGCCCTGTGGAGACCAAAATCC